AATAATTTTTTTTCTTCTTCTTGTGTCCATAAAACTATGCTTAATAAAACCAACCTCATTAAAGTAATACCTAGCACATATTAGAACCTCAATAAATAAATTATTCCTTAAAAAAGTATAAGAATTCCACAATTCCCCTATGGAACTAAAAAAAATAAGTTCATCAGAAAGTATAAAATTGACCATTATTCCTATAACCGTTCAAAAAGACCTAATAAAAAGATACAAACACTAAAAGTCTACGGATTCTGGGCGTGTCTAAGATGGATAGTGAGCGAAAGTTCCTCAAACCATCTGGGACAGAAGACTTCACCACTCTAAGTCTTTTCTTCTTCATAAACAAATTGAGAAGGTTCATCAATCCACCTGTAACAGCAATACTACATATTTGGAAATATAAAAGACTAGAGGCATATAAATATTGAATACGTAAGATTAAATTGTACAAAGGGGTTTAAGTATCTAGTGGTTCATATATATTCATAGCATATCCTGACCTTGACTCAGAAACCCCATATTATCGAATTCTTATTTGGCCTAAACAGAAATACAGTAAAAAAGCCATTGGTATTAAAATTAAAAAAAAAAAAAAAAAAAAAAAAAAGCTTTCATGCTCCAGCCAGTAAATTTTTGGGTATATTCAAGTTAGGATCAGCTAATTTGTGATTTTTCCTAGACAACCACTAGGAGTCCTAATTAATGGAGGAATTCAGCAGGGAGTGTTATGCTCCTACACAAAGCATGGACAGGTAGTGCTAACAAGTGTCCAGCTCTCTAACACGCAATGAAACATTTAATACAGTATTTGATATTCTTTGTGTGAGTAAAAAAAGAATTTGTTGCACTAATCTCATTGCTTAAGTCAAACCTCATGTACTACCTGAAGAAAGAAGGCCACTTAAGATTATTTTTTAATTTAGTAAAATAGTTAAAAAAATTTCACCATTGTATTATCTTAAGCCCATATACAAGTTAATTATAAGGGGAACCATGTTCAGGAATCCAAGAAATCCACAGAGAAAAACACAGTGACACAAACCATTTACCATGACAAAGGAGTCGGCAAACTGTTGGAAAACAGCTTGTAATAATGAAAAAAGGACAGAATTTTGTAACCAATCACTTATTTTCTTTTAAAAACACAAAACCACATTAACTTTTGCTTTATACAACCATCTAGAAACTATAAAACAGTACCACATTGTGCATTTAACCTACTTATCAAGAAGGGAACTCCACATGTCATAAGAATACTACCCATATAAGAAGGAAAAAGGAGACAGCTAAGAGCATAGTCACAGGAACAACATGAGTCCAAGCAAGCATCAATTCTTTGACGTCACCTTTTCCATTTACCAGAGTGGAGAGGAAGAAAGGAAGCAAGGAAAAAAGAGGGAAAGAAAGAAGCACCCACAGGGGACTAAGCACAATCCATAGTTACTTCTGACAACTATAGTTCAGGATTTCATAGAATAGTATCATTTGACCAACACGGTGTGAAGGCTAGTGTGTGAAAGAAACACAAGCACAGGGACACAGTTTAAACATAAAAATACATTTTTCACCCCATTTCTCTCCTAAACACTCTTCAATGATACAAACAACCGTGCTAACCCAGAAAATGGCAAAAAATTGATCTTCACAATGTGATAAATCTTTAATAAAGAGTTTTGTCATTTTCCAACTGAAATGTGAGTGGCTCACAATTCTACTTTACACTTCAAAACAATGTCATGAATAATTACTCTTGAGGGATTTCTTACAATCTTTCTCCCTATTTCTGCCATGCTGGTGTGGATATAGACAAACAGGAAAATGTAGGTAGGGACTTCAAAGGTAATGATCAAGGGAGAGTGAGATGGAATCCTTGCTCTTTGAAGTCCACATCTTTCTAGTAGTGCCGCAATCTATCCTGATATGCAGTAGTACCTCTAGAGGAAAGGGGATATAGTGGAAGTTACGTAACTGGTTTGAAGATGCAACTGTGTAATTAACAGGCATACTGGGTCCAAGGCAAACAATAGGCCATTTGATTGTCCTTAGGTTGATGGCACCATACGAAGAAAAAAAAAAAATCAAAAATGGAAGGTAGGATTGATTCAATAATAAACCATAGGTCTGCTACAAAGAAACATATTTCAGTTAAAAATTAGTACAATGATGCTCTTTTCAGGGGAAACTCATTTGTCCCTTTTACTTCCTCTTCTACCAGGAATTAAGAAAATGTATTCTGGAAAGTTGTTTCTGAGGGCAACTGAGTGTGTTTGGATGATTCATACAAGAAAGGCATCATGAGACCTATCAAGTAGCAGGCTTTTCTTCTTTTCCTGGCAAAATTCTCTAAAACCTTTGTCAAATTTAGTGAGATTTTTACTTTTTCATATTTGGAGAATCAAGTGCGATTAATGTTGGTTAGTTTGTGGTTTGTAACTCCGAAAAGCACACATTTCCTATGCTAGAATAAAATGAACTCTATTGCTAATTACCAAATGTAATGTATATTTACAATGTAGAAAAGTTGGGAGACTTTAAGATTTAGTATTGACTGATATTTGTAATGTAGAAATATACATATACATTTAAAAACTTTAACTTTCTTTGCTTTAATTACAAGGAAAAGAAATATTTTAAATTAAGTAAAAATTGAACCAAGGTGATAAAAGTGATTTACTTTTCTTTACCTAACTTTCCCCAAGGTTTGATCAGAACTTCTATACTAACAAGTCACTAAAGATCTACTGTAATGACACTGGCTTATTTCATTTGAAAAAAGTACAGTGATTGCTGTACTAGAGAGCGCCACAGATTCAATAAGATTATTTTTAAATCTAAGAAGTTTTGTTAATTTTAACAATTCAATTATGTTATATAATAAATACTTGAGTTAGGTAAATTTTATGGAAAGAGCAATATTATTATTACAAGAGCAATTATAGGTTGCTCTATTACAAGAGCAATAACCTGAAACCTATTCACCAAATTAGTGAACCCGATTTTAAAAAATAATACAATAGATATGGCAATTTTCTAAATTATTTTCCTCAGAGTAAGAAACTGTTCTAGTCACTGCTTAGAAAATTGCATTTGGGAATAAAGAACTATTTCCTGAATAATGTAAAGTAATGAGAAGAAAATAAAGGCTGCTCTTCCCAGCAACGTCACAAGCGCCAACAGAGGGAGACGCACCACCTGCGCGTCCTCCAGCTCACATGCTTTCCTAATGACTGGCTTCCACTGCCCTGGTCCCACCATTTCCTTGCTCTTCTCTATTGGCTTCAAAATTATCTTATTCTTCTCCAAGTAAATGTCTGTCAGTGTGCTACTTATGTGACTCAGTATTCTTACTTTCACCTAGTTCATCTATACAGAAACAAACTCCTTTTCTAGCTGTGAATGTACCTTGGTAAATCACTGTGAAAAGATAACCATGTATCAGTAACTTACTTCCAACTCAGTGGCACAGGGCCTGCTTGGCAAGTATGAGGCCCTGAGTTTGAGTACAGGACCAAAAAAAAAAAAAAAAAATTACTTCCTTTAAGAGGTCAGTTAAAACAGAAATTTCACCTTTGAATACCTGGAGTAATGGATCGTAAGAGCCTGACCTCACTTTCCTTCTTTAAGGGTTCATGCGAGCTCCTGCTGAAGTACTGGCACTCTCCTCTCACACCGCTGCTTCTCAATCTGAAGTTAACAGATCACCTAAGAGTCTAAAGGTTATGTGCTAGAAAAAAAGCTGTGTGTGGGTTTTCAGCTTCTTTCTCAAGAAGAAATGACCATTTATTGCCTAATTAATCATCTTTGATCAGTTCATTCTTGCTGTATGACATTAACGTCACCTATTATTTTTTGTAATAGTATAGGCAAGGCAGCCTTAAATATAGGCACTCTTTTGTGCATAGCAAAAAGCCACTCTTGTCTTCTAATTTCTCTGTGTGTAGTAATGCTTTTAATATTCTTATAAAATAAAAAAAATATTTTTTATCTGTACTTTCTTTTCATTCTTCTAGGGGAGTATTTTTAACTGATGTTAAAATTGAGTACTTTTCAAATAAAAAGAATACTAGAAATCCTAAACCTAAAGTGGGATGGAAGTTCTATCTTTGGTTAGATTATAAAATGACCATCATACTAATCTCTTGAAGAGTTCTTTTGAGAGTATCGGTGAGTATGAGTTTCCAATAAAATTTAGGTAGGAGATAACATTCACAACTGCCAGGGCATATAAAATTGAGACATGAAAGATGCACACTGCCTCTTTTAAAGGAAATAATTTAAACATATACTTGTCTCCCAAACTTTCTTGATGAGGAAAAAACCTTTCTTTTTATATAAAGCTGCATGTTTAAATACATAATACAGTATCTGTCACAGTAAGTGGAAATTTACATGTCTTTTTACTAGACTATGCCAATAGCACAAACATACCAGAAAAATAATATGTTCTATCATAGCATAGCACTGTCTAACAAAAAATAATACTGATTAGGGCTAGAATCATAATAGTTGAAGGAAGAGCAACTTGGTCATAAGATACACTTAAGTGAAAAAATTGGGGAATTAAGATACAAGAAGTTAACTGTAAAACTGTGTGTGTGTGTGTGTGTGTGTGTGTGTGTGTGTGTTTTGTGTGTGTAATTTGCTAATAGAATGAAACTGACAACTCAAATGGCTTTGGATATGCATTAGCACTGTGATTTTATTTGTGTAAGGAATGACTGATTACTGATCATTCTCTATATACTCAGTGATAATTGTTGCTGTTGTTTGATAGACCAGTGATATTTCCCCCATGTCTTAAAATTTTAAAAACAGCATAGTTAGGGGAAAAAATTCTAAGTAGATACAGTGCAACCTTTAATCTACCAAGGGACACTAAATCATTACTACTGATCATTATAATGATTTCAATTTATTTAAAGTTTAAAAAAGCAAATGTTTTCTCTTCAGTTTTGGGACAAAGGACATACTTGGTAAAACAAAATAAAAGCAATAGAAGCCGCAAAGTTGTATGATTTTTAAGGAAAAAAGTAATCTTGATTCAGAAAGGGAATATACTTTGCAAGTGTACAGACTAAAGAAGAAACAAACTCCTTTTAAAAGAAACTATTTGTCAGTTAATTGGCAGAAGTTTGGTATTAAAAGCAACTCTAACACAATTTCTAGAATTATGACAGGGATGAATAAAGATTTATGATATGTAGGGAAAAGCTGAATGCAAAAGTGATGAATAAAAGGGCAATTAACTACATGTTTTTAAGACAATACAAGTATTAATAGCTGCCTATTTGATTCTTTGTCTAAAATTAAGCTTTTGGGTTCTCCAACTGAGGCTGAGGGCATTGTTTAAACTTTACTTTTCCTGGTTTCATAATAGCTTTTCATCTTAACTGTTAAATAATTTTTTAAAAACCCAGGGCCTTATTCAGGCAGGGCAAATGCTCTATCTCAAAATTATATCGCCAGTCCCAAGACACTCAACTTAATCCCAATCCTATTCAGGAAAATAAAATGCCTTATGATTTTCCAGTAAATCAAGAGCACTTAGGCAGGGAATACATAAGACAAGAGTAAAATGGTCATTGCACATAGACCATTATTAATCTTAACTCAGAAATACATTTCCTATATATAACCAGATTTAGACACTCTCAAATTTTAAAAGCAGTTTTCTATTATGGGACAGCATGGAATTCAATGTTCATGTTTTCAAACTGTTCAGAGAAATGGTTATCAAAGTCTTTTGTATCAATGCAATACAAAGAAGGAAAGATATTTTGTTCTATGCTCAAAAATATGGTTTCCTTACAAATAACTTGTAATTCAACCAAATTCTCACTAAAGGAATGAGACAAGAGGAAAAAACTAGCAAGAATGTGAAAAGCCTCTGAAATGGCTCTGTCTTCCAATTCAGAGTCAGCAAAGGTTACATTACTATTACCCTTCATGTTGAAGCATAATAAGACGCAACTTCAGTTGCTATGGCTGGAATATGGGCTAAAGTATTCCATGTCTGCTCAGAGAAAAAAAAAAAAAGGATCAGAACCCCTTATGTGAATTTGAAGCAGTGGTAAGAAAATGTGTGGGATGTCCTGCTATGGGAGCGAAGCTCTGGATTCTAAAGCAGCAGCAACTTAGAATTTACTAATAAAACTTTGGCTTGAAATGAAAAGCAAAGAGAAAGTCAAACTGGTGCAAGTTGTCTCCTGAAAGAGGTATGTGGGACTCCTCTTACAGATATCATCCAGTATTAGTTTCCCCTATCTTCTTTCACTGTTATCACCTTCATTGCACAGGAGTTGTAGCATTCTTTTATGGTTAAGTTTCATAAATAACGAGAAAACTTTATGTAACAAATACATCATATTTCCCACCCACCCAGCAACCCTCCCCCAAAATAAGAAAAGTTACATCAAATTAAAAAGTAGCTTCATGAATGAAGGTACTGTTCTAAGTTGCACTTTTCCTGCAAGTGCGGCCAGTGCCTTTGCGCTAGGTATGAAGGAAAGGAAAAAAATTCTCCACATAAACTGACAAAAATTTAAAAATCAATGTCCGGTTTTAACCAGTCAAAACCGGGCCAAACAGAAGCCGAGATGGCTCAGTACTGTCCCATCAGAGAGTCTTTGCAATGCCTGTTCTTCATCCTGATAGGTATCTGTGTCCTTGTGACTGTGAACAATCCATAGATACTATGTTTTTGTCCTTAAAATGTCCTCTGATTGGCAAAATGATGTAATATTTGTTTTTAAAATAGAAAATTAAAATTAAACCAGAAGAAAAGAAAAGAAACACAGTGAGCTTGTTTGGAGTCCATAGGATCCGATCTGGAAGAGCTCGGAAAATGTGTTAATGTGTTTTCTCCTGTTTTCAGCTGGAAAAAGGTACTAGAGGTTGCGTTGGTCAAGGAAAGGATTGTAGAGTAGGAAAACCAAGGGTACTAATCTAGACTTCAGAGAATTCAAGTGTTAGCTTCATCATCTGTGTCTTCTATCAATACCTTAGTGTCACGAGCCTTGGATCTAGAGAAAGAAGAAAAAAAAGTAGTCTATTAATAAAATATAAACACATTCATTGTATTAGGCACATTTCCAATCTTAGCATTAAATAGACACCCTAAACAGGCACTGTATACTATACCAAATGTAGGTGTTCCTGGAATTTCATATTCAACTTCAGATATTAATAGAAAAATACTAAAAGGAGGCTAACAGGTCATCTTCAACAGAAAAAGTAATAAACTGGAATAAGATCTAGTTTTCAAGGTCTGGCCAGATAGCTTAGTGGACTAAAGTGCCTGCTTAGGCAGAGTGCAGTGGTTGGGGTTTGATCCCTAGTATGCTGTACTGGTTCTATCCCCTGGGTGTGCTGAGACTGCGACTGAGATTGGGAATTATGGCACTTGCCTTTATCCCAGCACTTGGGAGGCTGAAAACAGGAGGATCATTATGAGTCTGAGCTGTGTAGTGAGACCCTGTACCCATGTACTAAATACATAAAATTTAAAAAAAAAATTAAAAAAAGATCTAGTTTTCAATACTGATTTTGATTTATAACACATTTTTAACTTCTTTTAAGTGCTTGTTTCCATTTCTGCAAAGAAGGAATAACAACATCTATCTCACTTAATGTCCCTTTCACTTTATGAGTGTGCACATCAAGTAAGAACATGGCTAATAAGAAAATCAGTAAGGTATTAATCAAATATAAAGAATTATGATGAGAGAAATAATACCATTTGATGTATGCCTAGAAAACTAGGAGAGTTAATCATGAGAAGATAAGATCTAAGGAGAGACATGACAGTTGTTTTACTTCTAATGGCTGGTAAAACAGGATGCACAAGCAGATGTGGTGGCACATGCCTGTAATCCCAGCACTCAAAGGCTGAGGCAGGAGACTGCTGTGAGTTCAAGGCCAATCTGAACCACACAGGGATACCCAGTCTCAAAAACAACAAACAAAAGAGTGACACAGAAGAGGGAAGAGACTCATTCTAAGTTACGGGAGAGAATCCCCTGAAGTAAACCTATTAATCTAATCATAATGAAGTATACTGAATTTCAACATTATCTATTGCTGTCACTACACAACAATAAAATCAGGTACTTCATATAGTTGCAAATTTCATTATCACTGTTGTCAACTGGAACAAAATGTTCATTTACTCAGGATGCTATGCAGGATATTCCATTCTGAAACTGGATGAAAAGTGGGATTAGTTAACATTAAAATATTCTGCAATTTATGAGACCCATGAGGCAAAAGAAATATCTGAAGAAAAAGGAGTTGTCACTCTTACTTGACAGAGGGGAAAACTGATCTTGAAAAAGGTTAAGAATATGCTAAATGCTGCATGAGTCATGAAGTCAGAACTCGACTCAGATCTTATTTTAGATTTGCTGCACTCTGCATTACACATAACCTGTTCCATTCTAAATGTCTTCCTCTGGTTGAAATCTAGTTTGCCAGTGTTTTTCCACTAAGCATCTGAAACTGAACCAAATCTATCAACAATTAGCTGATTTCTGAAACAGAAACAGTATGTTTAGAGTGCCCTCTGCTGGTAACAAGGATTAGAGTTTCAATCAGCAACTCAACAAGATTACATACATGCCTCAGCCCCCAACCTTTTGTGTCATTTGTCTTGCTGGCTTCCTTGGTATTATAGCACTACACTTTCCTCTTGCTCATTCTCCTTCCCTACCTCCCTGCCTGGCTGGATGTCTGGCCTCCCTTACCCCCTACCTCCCCTCCCCTTACTTTCCTTCTTTTGCTCCCAACCACTGAATCCAGGTTGCTCTACTAATGACTTATATCTACACCACTTTTAACATTTTGGGACGAGGTCTCACTGAGGTCTTTCTGGTCTCACTCTTGTGATCTTTCTGCCTCAGTTTCCTAAGCGGATGGGATTACAGACATGTGCCCCCCAACTAGCACCACACTTTGCTTTGGTGCTCTTCTGACTGACCTCCTTGATGATGCTCCATGCTTGTCTTTTTTTTTTTTTTTTTTGCTACCAAGAATCAAACTCGGGACCTTGCTTTTGCTAGGCAGATGCTGTGCTGCTGAGCCATATCCCTGGATCTGTCCTTCATTTTTTGGTCTTGCCTAAGACTCAGCTTCTTGCTCTTGTCTTTTTTGCTTCTCCATCTTCTTTTTCCTTTTCAGAAAACTTATAAAATTTTATCTAAAGCTTTGACAAATTCTATTTTTCTATATCCACTGCATTATGGGTTACCACCTCCTGGTTTTTTTTTTTTTTACTTCCCTTAAAATGTTTCCTTTTATTCTTAATAGTTGATTTTAAACATTCTGATTTGAATCATTGTCCCATACTTAAAAATACTGCAACCACTGTTTAGTTGGGTGCCAGGACTTTTAGTTTTTCTTCTCCTAATATATCTCTTATAGTGTCATTAAAACTTCTAAAAAACTACTTTCATGTCATGCTTCTAAGGAAAAATGTGACTCTTTGCCAGGCACTGTAGCATATACCTACAATTCTAGCTAGGAGGCTGAAGGAAGAGGACCTCACATTTTAGTCCAGCATGGATACCTCAGTAAGACTGTCTCAAAAATAAAAAGCTGAAGCTCTATCTAGTTCAGCACTGCAGCACTTGCCTGGCATGCTTGAGGTCCTGGGTTTAAGTCTACCTACAAAGTGATTTTTTTTCTTGCCTGCAAGATCAAGCTTATACTTCTTGGTCTTTGATAATCCAACTTCCTTTAGAAAACTGCAACTTAATTTTCCTCCCTTCTAACCTACTGTGCTATCTGTTGTCTCTAAATTTCACATGCAATCACCATGTGTTCTACATTTATTATTACTTTCAGGAGCATACAAAATAAATGACTAATAAAATATAGGTATTTAGTAAGATAGTAGATTCTATTTATTACACTCTTTTTGAAAGAACTAGTGTAACTTCAATGTAATAATGAATTTCATCCACTAATCTATAAGCACAGGTTTATTAATCCCAATTCACAGGACAGATAATATAGAAATTAATGAACTCGGCTGAGGTCATATAGATAACAGGATACTTAAAATTTATAACTTGAAGCTTCTTGTACACATACTGAGGGTCAAGTAAATCATTCTCCAGCAAATTCTTCCCTAACCTATATCCTAATTTTTATATACCCAATTAGTAGGTAACATATGACATTCTGTATGTATATTCTATGCATTTGCTATTTATTGTTTTTTTGTAGGTGAAATATGGTTGACTATCAGCAACTTTATTTGGTTTAGCTTGACAGCTTCTTAGCTTAAATGCTACCTAATGATAAAAACCAAAAAAGTACTGGGATGAATGGCGCTCACCTACAGTCTCAGCACTAGGAGGCTGAGGCAGAAGAATCATGAATTTGAGGCCAGCCTGGGCTACACAGTGAGTTCAAAGCCAGTCTAAACTACATAATGAGACTCTGTCTCAAAAAAACAAACAAAAAACAACCAAAAGTCCTCAACAAAACAAAACAGAAAAGAAAATATGCCTCACATAAGTGGAAACTATACATACTGGGAAGTGAGGCGAGGTCGGCGCAGGGATATGCTCTGGTTGTACTTCCATGACCGATTCTTCTGGCGGTTTCGGACCCCATCCTCCTGATCCATCATCTGCTCTAGGAGTGTTTGATCATCTGCATTTAGGGGAGCCACAGAGATGTCCCGCACAGCACGAAATTCACCACAGTTATTTAGATGTTCATTCTCCAGGCGGAAGAAGTTCCAAACAAATCGCCTTAGCAAAATGGGATAGACAATCACATTTATTATAAAATGTTAATATACTTTTATTAACTGCAAACCTCTCAGAATATCAAATTTCTACTCATGGAAACAAAACAAGGATTTAAAGGATAGAATATTCAAATCAAATAGAAAAAGGGTTTAAAAGGGTGGCATGCGGGTACCAGAGTACATGTGCAAAATGGAGAGTCTTGTAATGTTCTTTACTCATTATTTCTCTTTATCCACAAGAATATAAGGAAGGAAAAGGCAGTAAATGAGACAACAAAGCCTTTGTCTTTATTCTGGTGGTGAAAGTAATCAATCAGCTGATGAAAACTACTCTGAAGAAAACACCACAGGAAAAAACTGCTGCAAGGTTAGGCAAAGTGTTTCAGAAGTGATGGCTTCTTGAAAAAAATTTGAATAATATAAGAAGCAAGTCACATACAACTCCTGGAGAAAACCATCCTTGGAAGAGGGAACAAGAAGCATAAAAAGACCCAAGCTGAAAATGCCTGCAGTGTCCTGAAACAACAGTAAACAGCTCAGTGGGGCCAGAGCAGAACAAGTGAGGTGAAAATGGCAGGAGATACATGTGGAGAGGGAGAAAAGGGCCCAGCCACAGGAGACCTCACGGTAAAGAACTGAGATTTCAAGTGTGATAGAAAGCAATGAGAATTTGAACAGCAGAATGAAATAATTTAATTTAATTAATTTATTTATTTTTTGCAGCACCAGGGATTGAACTCAGGACCCTGCACTTGCCAGGCAAGTGCTTATTCTACTGAACTATTTCCCTGGGCTTGAAATAATTTATTTTAAAAAAGATCATTCTACTGACTGAGCACTGAACACACCAAGGAGAGAGGAAAAACAAAAACAAAAACAAAAACAGTTGAAAAAAGACCAATCAGAAGTCTGTCATTCAGTTCAGCAGTGTCTTAGCCAGAGGTAGTAATAACAGAGTTAATGAGAAACAGACAGACTAGACTACAGAATTGAAAACGAAGTTGACAGGATTTACTGATGGGATATGAGTGCTCTTTGGGTTTTTGGTCTGAATGAATAGTAAGCACGATTGTTTCTGTTAGTCTACAGCTATTTGATAGGTAGATGAACGTGAAGAGCCTACCAATCAAGGGAGATTTGGGGGCTAGAGATAGTAGGAGGACAGTATTTCAAATCATGTGCTTAATTAATTAAACAACTAGAAAGGAAAAGAGGACAGAGGATTAAACCCCAAAGCTTTCTAGCATTTACAAGCTTGGGAAGAGGAAGAAGAAGCATTAGTAAAGTCATTGAGAAGGAAAAGCTGATTGGATAGGAAACTGCAGTTTCTGAGAAGTCAAGTGAAGCAGGTGGCTTGCTGAGAGATTAAGTACAGAGAACTGATCAAAGGATTGAGCAAAATACTATGATATAAGAGCTTTCATTCTGTGAGATTGTCTAGATTCAAATCATGGCTCTATCACTTCCTAGCTATAAAAGCTATGGATGAGTTACTCAGTTTCCACTTCAGAGTAATCAGTAGAATGGAATAATAATGAAACCTAGCTCCTAAGACTGTTTTGAGGACTCAATGACTGTAAAGGGCTTACAACAATGCCAGAGATATAACTGCTAGTATGTGCTACTACATAGTGTTTGCTCTAATATTGACATTATTATTATAGAACTATGTAAGAGTAATAATATAATAACAAAAATGGTACAGTTTCAGTATCTGGAACAAATACAGAATGAAGAAGTGAGAGTGGAGATAGCAAATGAAAACATTTATTAAAGGATTTTTCTGTAAAGGAGAACAGAAAGATGGGTAACAGTTGGATGGGGAAAGGGAACTTTTTGTTTCAGTATTAAATGGATGATAGAACAGTTGATTCTCACTAAGCAAACAATTTCTTAAAAAATTGTCAAGGATAAAGTAGTTTTTTTTTCATTTTTTACAAATCTACAAAGTAGCACACATGAAAGAGAAAGAAGCGGCCAGGTGCAGAGGATGGTAGGATGGAAGGCTCAGGTCCTAGACTTCGGTATTAGGGAGTGTAAAGAAGGGGAGGAGGGCTGACAAATGGTCTAGTTTAGAGAGAACATTGACAGCAACAAGCACACTGTTTTCAATCATTCTTTTTAGCTCTATGTTTGTACTTTCTATCTTACGGGATTGCGATATATAGGATCAAGTCAACAGTTTTAGGTAGGCAGTCATTTTCTTTCAGCACACTGACAACTTAATTTTAATGATTTCTGACTAACCTCGATGCTGTTGAGAAGTCAGCTACCAGTTTAACTTTTCTTTCTTTTTTATTGCTTGGTACCAGGAATCAAACTCAGGACCTTGTGCTTTCCAGGCAGGCCTTTATGCCACTTAGCTATATCCCTGGCCCTTATCAGACTAACTTCTAACTGCCACTTCTTTGAAAGTAATGGTTTTCTCTGGCTGATTTTAAAAGTATCGTAAGTACCACTCAGAAATATAATACACTGAAAATCACTTTTAGGTCCCCTTTTCCTGATAACTTCTACAGAATTTACTGATTTACCTTCATATTTAGCTCTGCAATCCATGTGGAACTGATTTTGCATACAATATACAATAGGAATCAGGATTTAGTCTCCATATATCTTAAAGTGCTCTCTTTCTCCACTGTTATATAGCCACTTTTGTCATAAGTTAGGCAGTGTCAACATATACGTGGTTCTGTCTCTGGACTCCCTAATCCACTCCAGTGGACTATCTGTCTTGCTGTCACTAGCCCAGTACACTACCCTATTCATTATCACTATACCATCAGTTTGCAACTGAAAGTATTACTGATCCTTTGTGTTTCCATATACATTACAGAACTGAATTATCACTTTTCATATACATACAAGTATTTCATTGGATTTATTCCTAGGTATCTGACATATTCTGGTGCCGTTCAATTTTTAAAACTTTTTCCAATTATTGTGACTGTTGCACAAATGACTTATGTTTGCATTGACGTTATATTCAGATATAATATCAAATCTAATAATTGTAACTATTTAATTCTCTGCATATGAAATCTTATCAATGAATAGTTTTATTTTCTTTAAAAAGTTTTTTTTTTCCTCTTTGGTAGTACCGAGGTCTGAACTTGTCCTTTGTACTGAACTACATCCTTAGCTCTTTTATTTATTTTTTTTAAACAGGGTCTTGCTCAGCTGCCCAGGCTGGGCTTAAAATTATAATCCTTGTGGCTCAGTCTTTCAGAGTGCTGGCATAACACCACACCTCACTTCTTTCACAATCTTTACACTTTTTTCTTCAGTGCATCAGCAATACTTATAGGATAAATATAACTGCCCTTCCCCCCTTTATGGCAGCAAAGATAATTTTTGATCCAGGGATTTACTTTTTAGGATTCCCCAAGTATTCCATCAATGCATCCTCTGTTCAGGTGATATTTTTGCTCTGTTGGCATCTGCCTGACAGAACCTGGCAACCTGACTGTTTTCTGCTTAACAAGACTATAGAAATTTGACCCAGTCTTGTGTTGACCTCCCTTTTCCACTGGGCACAACAGCACACAAAAATCTTGCCTTTCTCAACATTAGCCTTTAAAAAATTAATACTGGAGGTTAAATCTAAGATCTTTGTATTGAACTACATCTCTGGCTCTTTATTTATCCTAACACAGGGCTTTGCCAAGTCATTAAGTTGCGCAGACTCAAATTTTCATCCCTACTGCCTCTGCCTCTGGGAAGAACGGGAGTACAGGCATGTGCCAATATGCCCACCTATAGTGAGCCATTTTTAATTTCTTCTCTCTGGTGCAACAAAGTCCTCAGTCAGAAACCAGCTCTCTCTGGAGCAATCTCTTTTACGAACTTTGGTTTTGTCATTTTTTTCCTGTTGTATGCTTGTTTTCCATTCCATTAATTTCTTTTTTAAAAAAATATTTATTTATTTATTTATTTATTTATTTAGTGTGTGTGGCCAGCTCAGCTCACCAGGGGGCTTGAACAGTGGTCCCTGTGCTTTGCTTAGCTTAGCTTGTTCTAAGTAGGTGCTTTAGACCACTGAGCCATCTCACCAGCCCCTCCATTAATTTCTTTATGGTTTTTATTTTTCCTTTGGGTTTGATTTGCAATTATAAATTGATTTCTGACTTCTTGAGCTATATATATACTTTTCTGATACATACATTTAATGTTATATATTTTCTATTATGCTTTTAGATGGATTTTTCACTTTTTAGTTTTCTTTCTTTTTTTTTTGGTGGGACCAGGAATTGAACTCAGGCCCTTATGCTTGCCAGGCAAATACTTATTCTACGGAGCCATCTCCCCAGCCCCTTTCAATTATATTAAAATATTTTAAAATTTGTATTATAATTTTAACTTTGACTTAGGGGTTATTAGGTATGAGCTGGTTAATTTCTAAACATGTGAGAACTTTTTAGCTTTTTGTAACATTAATCTTCTGAAATTGGGCTGGGGAGATGGCTCAGTAGAATAAGAACTTGCCTGGAAAGTGCAAGGGCCTGAGTTCAATCCCCAGTTCTGGAAAAAAAAAAAAAAAAAAAATCTGCAATTGTTGAGACTTCCATCATCATCATCATCATCATCATCATCATCATCATCATCATCATCATCATCATCTCTTGATTTTTTTTTGAGACAGGGTCTTACTATGTAGCCCAGGCTGGCCTTGAATTTACTGAGTAATTCAGGCTGCCTTCAAAGATACGGCAGTCTTCCTGATTCAGCCTCCCAAGCGCTGATTAGAGACGTCTTTATGACTCAATGTACAGCTAATTTTGCTAAGTGTTCTATATGCATTTAAAAGAATGCATAAAAAAATAAAAGAATGCACATGTACCAGTTAAGAAAGAAATCTTTTTTTTTTTTTTTTTTTTTGCTGAACCGGAGATTGAACCAGACCCTTGTGCTTGTCAGGCAAGCACTTATTCTACTGAGCCATCTCCCTGGCCCCCTCATGTACCAGTTTATAGATACAGAGCCCACAACAGGTACACTAGGTCAAGTCAGTTCTTTATTTATCTACTACTGAAGAAATATGTTAAAACCTTTCACTAAATGTATAATATATTCATCTACTTCTTACCCATCATTTTTATTTTAGCAAAAAGGTAGAACTGAGTAACTGAGACTATTAAATTAGAAAGACTCTCAAAATTTTTAAACTTTTGTCCTAAGACCTTTTAGCTCCCAATTTCCACTTACTATTCTCCCAGTGATGCCCACTTACAAGTTCACCATCAATAGTAACCTTGACTTTATACAAAGCAACCTCTAAGTTATATAAGCACAGGATTTTCCAAATGTCAGGCTGATAATTACAAGTTTGAGGAAGCTAGAAAATTTAAGCTTTTCAAGTTAATAAACTTTAATTTTAAGCACTGGGCATCTTTTAGGTAAAATAATCTTTGATAAATCTTCCAATGATTTGCTTACCGGAAAACCTCAAGAGGGGCAAAGACAGTAGCAATGATGTCCCCAGAATGAGGCAACACAGTCATAGAGGTAATTGAGATTTGGACAGTCCAAGCAAAGCGTAGTATCACATCTTCTATGATGGCACAATAGTAGTAGGCCTAAAGAATGATGAAGAAATTGAATATGATTCTCATCACATTTCTCACAAAGATGCATTCCTATTGGTAATAAGATTCACTCATTCATTCATGTTCCACCAATAAGCACAGGATCAAGAAGAAAAAGTTGTTTTCTTTTGAATTTTGCAGAGAAGCATACATTATATTTTAGGAAAATTTCAACAATTCAGTTTTGTCTTAAATTGTGTGGTGTTTAAAATTAAGTGTTGAATTTTAATAATCATTTAACAAATATAGTTTACTCCCATATTATATACCAGACTCTTCTAGGCCCCAGAAATACAATCTAGATGGAAAGCCTTGTTCAACTGAGATTATATTCTAGCAGGTACATGACTGTTAATGACATAATAGGTAACACTAAAGAATGTAAGCACATTTATTAACTGTACCATTTGTACTTGTATTTCCAAATTGCCTTACCTACATTTGAAGAAAGTTTTATTTTGACATTTTTTTTT